CAGCAAAAAGAAATATAATAAAAATGTAGAAAGTTACAATAAAGGAGGAGTGGATGTCCTCCCTAAGAAAGGAAACAAACCAGAGAAGGAGAAATACTTCGGCCACAAAACAAGTCACTATAGAATAGCTGGCTAATCTTTAATCTCTACATAGATGAAAGAAATGGTACTTGGCCCAAACTTGGCAGACTAAAATGGTTATTAGCCTTTTTATCTATTTTTTTGAGTTCTATTTATTATTTGCTTTTAGTACATTGATTTTATATTTATATCTTCATATGCATGTACTTAACTGTTGTATTTCGTTTACTCTTTACTACTCTTTTTGTGCTTAGATAACCAAGGAATTGTCACGATTACAACAATTGGCAATGGAGAACAAACTTAGTCCTAGAGATATTACTGGTGGGACAATTACTTTAAGCAATATCGGGGCTATAGGTGGAAAGTTTGGTGCCCCCATCTTAAACTTGCCAGAAGTTTCCATCATTGCTATTGGCCGAATTCAGAAAATTCCACAATTTGCAGATGACGGAAATGTCTATCCTGCATCAATTATGACAGTAAGCAACCACACCTTATGTGTTTATGTTTCATAGTTTTCATATATTTGGCATATGCCTCTAAGGGCAAAAGCAAAGAGTACAACCTCATTTTTAATTAGACTACTTTTGGAACAGATACATAAATTTTATGGAATATATTTGCAAATTAACACTCAGGTCAATTAAGAGAATAAAAATATAAGTTATATTAGAAGATTAAACTAATTTTAAACTCGTGTGGAATTTTATATTAGAATTGATATAATATTTTTCAAATTCCATCAACTTTGACACAATTTGAAGTGTATCATTTCAAGTACACAAAAAATTTGATGAGGTCAGTTTTTATCATTTTAAGATTTTCACATCGCCTAGTTGAATTAATTATGAATCTGCAAATGAATTTTCATCGCCAACATGTTGGGGTATTATTGATGGGGGTTCCATTTGATCACTAACAAATATATTTTTGTTTCCAGGTTAACATAGGTGCGGATCATAGAGTTCTAGACGGTGCAACGGTTGCGAGATTTTGCAGTGAGTGGAAACAATTTATTGAAAAACCAGAGCTGCTTATGTTGCATATGAAATGACAAGGCTCAAGTACCTCTTGTTCATGTATCTATCACCCTCCCTTTTCTGTCCCTATAGCTGAAAAACCAGTAAATATACTTCTGTAAGCACAACCTTCACAGATTGATCTGCAATAAGATTGACAGGAACTGGGCTATTTTTTATTTTTAATGTGATTGAGTTGGGTAGGGAGATGGAGATTTTTTAAGGGTTTATTGCAAAGTATAGTCTTGTTTTGATTTTTTTGGTGACGAGACTCTTGTTTGATAGAAAGTAGATCTTAATCCTTACAAAGAACTCGGTTCGATCTTTCCAGAAACATAACGTAGAATCAGATCTTTATTATTTAAACCAATTTGAAAATATGCTATTATTTAAACAATCTATAAGTTTTTAAGTTTTTAAATACCAAATTTTGTGAAATATTAAGATTAAATAAATTAAAATTAAAAAAATTAAAAATTTATAAATAAAAAAAATGCTTATTAAACAATATTTTTAAATAAAATAACATAAAACTAAATTACTATGGATTAAACTGTCAAAAGAAATAACAAAAATTACAAAAGTTAAATTATAACAAGTTCGATTAACCGTATTGACACTAAAAAATTATAGAATTTGTGATATTTTTGTTGTTATTTATTTATTTATTTATTTTTAGTATTAGCTAGAAAAAAGTAAGAACTAAAATATGATAATAAATATATAATATTCGAACTCAAAATTTAATATGGGATTAATTTTGATATTTTAAAAAATAAATAAATAATTAATTATAAATTAATTTTATTATATTATTGAAAAAAGTAGGTAGGGATGTAATTAAAAGCAATTTTGTAGGAAAAGATGTGAAAATTTGAATTCGGGAGGTGTTTTTGAAAAAAAAAAATAAAAACATGAGGTCAAAATGCAAATAGAAAAAGTTCGGCTACGTAGAACTGCTTAGTTAGCAGCCCCGACAAATCGGAGCATGCCGCGTGGCAAGGCACACTGACATCGGTGTCATGTGGACGATCCGCGTACCCCGCTATCAGACGACCCAGGATTGATCCCGCGCACATGGAGGATCAGATTCATTCAGTCTTTAGGCGTGATCGGACGAACAAGATTAATCGCGATAAATGACGCAGATTCGTTTCTTCTTTAGGCGCGATCGGACGGACGAGATCAATCACGATGAATGGCCCAGATCGACGCGGGATGGGTATCAATACTCTGCGTCGCATAGAAGCCCAAACCCTAACCGCCAACCCCTGTCGGAGAAGAAGAACCAGACACTAGAGAATGAGATCGATCGCCGACTGCTGCCGCACCGGAGCCATTATCGATCACCAAAAAATGTAAAATTTTCTCCTACCCGCTCGAAGTATCCCTGTGGACAGCGGGTGAGCTGGAAACCGCAGGCAAAGCCTGGCGGAGCTGCCGCGACCAAAACCCAAAAAATTCCTCCGATGAGTCCCTTCATGTTTCCTATTTCATGCGACTTTTCGATCATTATGCTCATTGTCCTTATCTATATAGATTAATCGAAAAAGGAACCCCAACCGCAAAGAAGGACCGGCGGAGCAGCCGCATCCAGTGACCTCCCATTGGTAGGTTTGGTGTTTTTGGTAATTTTCTAGCCAATTGATGTCTCCTAACGTGTTTTTCTGTAGAGATACATGTAAAACCGATTAAAATCGACCAAAAATGACTAAGTCGAGGTGAACCACTATCGTGGGCGGTGGAGCCAGCGCCGAAGCACAGCGGCGGTGCCGTGCCGGAACTCCAAAATCAGCTGGAAAGAGTTTTAGATACTAATTTTTGATTTTGAGAGTATTTTTAGGTACATGATGAATGTTTTGGATTCTGTAGGAAAAATTCAAGAAACTCAATACCCGTTAGGAGGCATAGTAGACAGCGCGACGTCTCGAAACATCGATCTAAATAAGGATCCCTCACTCTATTTTCCATTACAGTAAATTGAGGTTTAACAATATATAATTTTGTATTTTTGTGAAAAGTTAGAAAATCCTAAAAATAATTACAGGTTACTAGTAGAGCCGGAACTGGTTAGTTCATAATTGTCTTGATTTTCTGTACTGTCCTACTTCTTTGTTATCGTATTGTGCATGTTCTTAATTTATAGTTTCAATGGTTTATTCAATTTATCTGGTTTATTTGTTTATTTGGTTTATAATACCCGGGCCCAAAATTTGGCCCGGGCTTAATTTTAAAATAATGATAATAATAATAATAATAAATATATTTAAATAAAATCTTTAAATTTATAAATTTTTATCTAATGTAAAATTAGAAAAAAATAAGTAAATGATGAAATTGAAAATAATTTTGAAAAAAATGGATGAAAATTTGGGTTCAGAGGTATTTTTGAAAGAAAAATAAAAAATTGATGGTCAAAACGTAATTTAAAAAAATATGCACGCTGACTCGGTGCCACACAGGAGATCACACTGGCAATCCACGTGCCCGCAATTAGACGGTCCAGATTTTTTCCCATGCGCGTTGACAGTCCGGAACCGTTCCCTCCTCAGACGCAATCAGATGGTCGCGATTAAACGCGATGAACGATTTATATTCATTTCCTCTTTAAACGCAATTGTACGATCCTGATCAAATTGAAATGAACGGTACAGATTCATTTTCTCTTTAAACGTGATCAGACGGTCAGATCAAACGTGATAAACAGTTCAGATTAAAGGAAGACGGATATAAATACATTATTTCACATTGAATCCTAACCCTAGCCACCAGCCCCCCACCGGAGAAGAAGAACCAGTTGCTGGAGAATAGAGCCGATAGTCGACCACCGACCGCCGACCGTCACCTGCCGCTGCATGGAGCCACATCCGATCACCAAAAAAGGTAAAAAAATTTTCATTCGCTCGAAATTTGATTCTAAACACCCCCATAGCCAAATCGGAGCAAAAAAACTGGTGGATGAGCCATAAACTGTGGGTAAAGCCCGGCAGCACCGCCGCAAGAAAAATAAAAAAATTGCCTCCGATGAGTCCCTTCCTAATTCTCGTTTTATGCGATTTTTCCACCATTATAATCATCATTTTGTTTTCTACAGGTTGATCGAAGAAAAAACGCTCAACCGTGAAAGTGAACTGGTGGAGCCGCCGCACCGAAAAATCCCGCCGCCAATGAGTTTTTATTTTTCAACTTTTTTCAGCTAATCGATGCCTCTTAACGTATTTTCTCGTAAGGATGAATATAAAATTGGTCGAAATCGACCAAAAACTAGTCAAAAACAGCCAATCTGAGGCAAACCGCCGCTTGCGACGGCGGGCCGCTCTGCCATAATTTCGAAATTGGCCAAAAATTACTTTTAAACCAATTTTGAGTTTTTTTTTGGGTATTTATAGGTATTTGAAGCGTATTTTAATATTCGAAAGAAATTCAAGAAATCCGAGGACCGCCAGTAGGCGCAGCTGAAAGTTTAGTATTTCAAACACCGATTCGGGTAAGAATCCATCACCTTATTCCCTATTATGGAATTGAAGTTTAATTATAAATAATACGGTATTTTGTGTAATTTAGAAAACTTCGATAATTAATTATAGGTTACTAATGGAAGAAGAATTAGTTATTTATTACTGTTTATCCTATTTTAACTTATTGATTGATTTTATAGTTTTAAATGCTTAATAATACACTGGAGTTGGTAAGATGATTAAGTTGTGTTTCTTTGATGCATATATTGCTTGTTTTGCGTGATTTAGAGTTAAATTGTGAAACTGAAAATTAAATGTAAATAGAAAATTGCTTGATTAAGTGAATAAATGAATGGTAGTCTTACTAGATATCCTGATAGATGGTGGACGGACCGAGTACATAGAAAACCCTACCATGAACGTTGTCTCATACCAGACAGGATATCGAGTATTGGTATTTTGGTACTCATACCGGACGAGGTATGGGGACGACCCATTTTATCCTCATACCGGACGGGATATGGGACGGCTGGTTAGTTGACAATATTGAATAAGGGTTCACGCGTAGTGGGGACATCCCTATGAACCCCATGAATACTAGTAGACAGATAAAAAATGAAAGTTGTTGCTTTGGCTAATTAAAAATGAGATTATGATATTGTTTATATTATTGCCTCTATTGGTCGATTTTTGAAACCTCGCTACGGTAAATATGTAATAAATAATTTATTAATGATAAATAAATTTATCTAAATTAAGAGCTCTATTAATTGTTTTTATCATTTTTACAAACCTTCATTTCTGTATCGATGAGTAGTATGACATTCTTACTAGGCTAATGTAGCTCACTCTTTTATTAATCATTTCATATTAAGAGGATCAAGATCAAGATCTCGATCTACAAGAGAGTTGCGAATAGGATGTCCAATTGTTTATTTTCTATTTATTTCTTTGATTTTTTGTTTGTTCTTTTAGAAGGGTCATTCTTGTAACCCTATTGGGTATTCTAAATTATTGTGTAAGGAATATAAACCCTAACTTTATTTTTCGCTTTCGCATTCAACTTATAATTTATTTCTTTTTAAGTTCCGGACTGTTACATGGTTACTCGATTCTTTATTATGATAAGTTACAATGTCTGTATAAATATAGTATAATTGATCTGTAAATATAATATGAGATATTAGTATGCGTTTGTTGGTTGTTTTGGTTGATGTGAATCTTTATGTGAAATGCCTACTTGGTACCTAGGAAAATGGCGGATGAACTCGGTGTGTAGGAAACCCTACCGTGAACGTTACCTCAGTTGGATGAGGCAGGAAAATCCCATATCAGGAATGTTTGAGAGATATGGTTCACCCTCATACCGAACGAGGTATTGAAATGATAGAATATTTGGCACCCATTTCTAGACGGGGTATAGGAACGATCAGTTATTGGGTTCATGAGTAGGATGACATCCCTATGGACCCCCAAGAGTACCAGTAAACAAGTAAGAAAGGAAAATTATCGTCACTTGTTCTCTTATATGTGAAAATAAAAAGTGATATGGACATGAGTTTTCATAATTTGCTTTTAAAAAATTCATAATGGTATGTATCAAATAAAAATCTTTATGTTAAATGTATTTAATTAAAGTAAGGATACCATTAGTTATTTTTCTAATTTTTACCAATATTCAATTTTTCATATCTGTAATTAGTGTGATATTCTTACTGGGTTAGTGTAGTTCACCATTTGATTAACCATTTTAGATCAAGAAGAAAACATCC